CTCCCAAACCAGCAGCACCAATTCTCTCGGCTGGCCAGAATTATGCCCTTGTCATGGTTGCTCCCCCAGCATAGTGCCAGGTACCTAAGTCCACAATAAATGAATAAGGTCCACGAAATTAAGGTGGCTTTCACAGAAATAAATCATGGCAAAGGAGGAAAGAGCGCGGCATTGCAAAGGGAGCCCTCCTGGCTGCTACCCCTTTAGCTCCACCAATGGGAGTGCTTTCTACCCTTTGCCATCCTGAGTTCTTGGTCCTATTTATCAACAAAGCCCTGGTCCATCTGTAGGCTTGAGATTGCCTATTTTATTAGTTCTGAAGCAATATATTAAAATTAGAGCAAGTCAAAGTACTCATATGCATTTAAAATATTAACAATTGTTCAATTTGATAACTTAACAAGGATAACCTTATAGCCTGTGTTCCCTATTCTGAATATACCTACCATGCAGAAGTTTTGTGCGGATTAGGTGTTTATTAGCATTCTAATACAGTATTTAGAACACAGTGAATGCTACTATTATCGATTTAAAATGTTTAAAAATAAAAGAGCATCCATTTTGTATTTGCAGAGTAAATATGCATATAACTATCCATCATGAGAAAGTACACAAAAAGTAATGTAAGCATTGCCAACTTATTTATTCTTCTGTCTACACCTTTCTTCATTTTGGCTGCATGGACAGGACCAGGTACAAAGAACATTAACAGCTCTGTGCTGCCCTCTAGTGGTAAATATGCAATATAGTCCATTACAGGGTTTTGCTTTTATTAATTCCCTTTCAAACAAGGAAATTCTAAGGAAACCAGTAAGAGAAAGTTTGTATTATGAATATAATTTCTTGGTCTGCTATCACTGACAGCTGATTAAGAGCCACTCCACGCCACTGACATCAATTTATTACTTTAATTACCACTATTTTTCATGGAATATAAAAGCACAAGTTGATGCTTGTCCTAAAAGCAAATTCTTATCACTTGTTAGGTACAATGATCTGTTATTACACTATATCAAGTTCAATCTAGGAAATACCTTAGCTATCCTGAACTCACATACACACACACACACACACACACACACACACACACCCCTCAGCTTCAAAACTAAAGTAGTACTAAACATTTCAGTTCTTAAAAGAAAAATTCATTTTTGCTTGAATTTGTTTAAATTTAGCATTTAAATATGTTCCTATTTGGTTAATAATTTAAATTCAATGGCCCAAAATTTATATCATTATAATATCACAAACTTACTGTATAATACTTATAACTCATGCATTTGGAAGATACCTTATTATCTCAACAAGTCTGAAACAAAATCATTTCTATTATTTTTGAAGTTATTAGTAAAACTGACTTTTTTCCCTAACAAAGAAAAAAAATCCAGTAAAAGAGATAAGCTGCTTGCTAAACAAGTGTTTGGGGTGGGAACAGGGATAAGAGTAAGTGTATTGATTCAACCAAAACAAGTAGAATAAGAAACAACAATATGAACAAACCTAATGATAAGAGAATTCTTTCTCATACTATACAGTTTGATATAAATAGGATGTTTTATTAAATTCTTTATATCCTATCTATTTCCAAAACGCACTGGGGCCAATTTTTAATAAAAGACATATATAAGCACAGCAGTAAAACAAAAATAGCAAATAAAATCCAAAAGAAATGAGACCGCAAATATAGTAACCAGTTCGTTAACTAAGTTGCTGGTATTGTGCTTCAGACTTGGATCTGAGCCTCTTAGCAATCAAAGGAAAAAGGGACTAACGATTTACATATTTCTTACCTTAAAGCAGCGGTTCTCAACCTGTGGGTCGCGACCCCTTTGGGGGTCGAACAACCCTTTCACAGGGATTGCCTAAGACCAGCCGTGGGCAAACTTCGGCCCATGGGCTGAATAAAACTAAAAAAAAAAAAAAAACCGTACCACTCCATCCATGCTTTTGTTCCGGCCCTCATACATATTGTTGTGATTAATCACTATGCTTTAACCCTTTGCGGTCCAATTTTATTTTTGGAATTCAAACAGTCTGGTCCAAATTAATTGATGACGG